CGTGTCAACGGGTAAAACCCTCTCCAAATGCAGCTGCGCCGCTGGCCAGCTTACCGGTGCCCACTAGGTGCTGGCAGTCCATGCGTTTGGACTTTGTGTTTGGCCTGCCGAATCATTTGGCGGGCAACACGGGTGTTGTATTCGTCGACCGTTTGAGCAAGATGGCTTATTTGGCAGCGGTGCATGACACCAACGACGGGGTCGGTACAGCCACGCTGCTCGTGAATCGTGTTTTTCGACAACACGGACTCCCAAAGTTGATTGTCTCTGATAGAGACCCCCGTTTCAAGAAAATGTTTTAGTCGACTATCTGCAAGGTGCTCGGCACCAAGTTGGATATGTCGACAGCGGATCATCCGCAAACCTATGGCCTGACCGAAAGGGTGAATCGCGTCATCGAAGACGTTCTTCGCAGCGTCTGTGCTGAGACGCCAAGGCGCTGGAGCGCCATGTTGCCAATCGTAGAGTTTGCGCTGAAAAATGCAGTGCAATCGTCTACCGGTTGCACGCCGTTCTACGTGAACGAGCTGGGTCACCCTCGCGTCCTGCTGACACCGCCATCCCTTGGCTTGGGGCTTGGTGGGGGAGGAATAGCCGAACGGCTAGCTGATGTCAGCCCCCTCATTATCCGTAAAGAAGTCGATGACTCCTTGTCTACCAGACTGAGTGTCCTACGACACGTTCGCGATGCGATGGCTGAAAGCCAAGACCTTCAGAAAGATTATGCAGATGAAAAAGGAAGAGGCAAAGTAGAAAGCTTAAAGGTCGGGGACCTAATTTTATTAAATTTTAAAAACCTTCCTACACATGAGAACAAAGCTTCGTCCACGGTTTATTGAACCGTTTAAGGTTGTGGCCAAGCGGGGTCTAGTGTATACGATGAACCTTCCAAAACAGATGCGCACTGACCCGGTGTTCTTCGTGGGCTTGCTCAAGCCGTACCGTGATCCGGCGCAAGTGAATGTGGAAGCTTTGGCGCCGTAGCAGATCCCACGGGCCATCGGCCACCCAGAAGTTGAACCAGCAACTGCTTCTGGGCACGGAATGCAGCAACCTCCGATTCTAATGGCGACAAGCGCTCCATCGTCGCATGCAGCGACGCATTCGCCTGCTCCACGAGCGCGGAAGTCAACAAGGCGAGGCAGCTGACGCACGACGTGCCTGTCCTGTGTGGATAATACCTGATACGTCATGTACCTGTCCTTGGTACAACACGTACGCTAAACAAGCAGTTGCCTTTGATAAATTCTGTGAGGGATAGCACAATTGATCTGAAAGCATTAAGCTGATTTGTTAATGCGCCGACAAGACGCCTCTCAGCCACCATAAACTGACATGTATGGGAACAACCGACTCTGATTAATTTCATCATATGCGGCCGCTTTGATATAATCTCGAGGTTAAGAACAGAGACTGGAGAAATATCTATGGGTCAGAGCGACAGAGTCGATCATAGACTCGGCCAGACTCAAAACGAAGCGACAGTGTGTCGCGTGGCGCTTTTCACACTAGCAGGTCCACAAAGAGTAGGGCACTTACTGTGCGGTACCGGTGTGACCAAGACTTTTACAATATGATATCTGTTCAAGCGACAGATGTCGCGAGTGATTGCACCATGCGATTTGAACAGCACAGGGTGCAATAAGCCAGTCTGTTAGGATATGCACCTTCTCGATTGCATTACGAAAACTCTCGGTGTCGGTCACAAGATCGACACATTCGGGGAACGTTGATGTTCTGACACAATCTAGAGAATTCACAAGAGTCAGTCACATGAGGATCGTTTTCTGCAGGCTCCACTCGATGATCAAAAGAAGACTCACGGTAATGTGATCAGAAAAGTGGTCCGGTGTACAGCGGGGCTACCGTAGCTCTTTCGCTTAGAAGAAGCTTGGTTAAGGTCGGTGGCGTAGCGGATCGCAATCTGCCTACTCCAAGAGTGATTACAACCTTAATCCAGGGCTATTTATCTCTTCCGTTTGAATATAAATTGTATTTCTCGGTTTCCTTTGCGGCAAAGCCGCCTAGATCTGAATATATAGGTTTCCTATTTATGTAGTAAAGCCTAATTAATAGGTAACTACTGCCTGTTCCAGCCGCGTACTGACTTGTTGTCTGCGTGTAGCCACACGGTTATGTGGACACACCATCTTGTATATCCACAACATTGTTTGGTCACACCATATTGTGTGACTCACACCCTTCATACCTGGGCACTTGAAACCCAATTACACGATGTCTTCTCAGTGACTGCATCCAGCTGTAGACTCCCCCAAAGCTAAAGACGATGAATGCAAGCCAATCTTTCCGGATGAATTGCAAAAGGAAGAGTTACACGAACTCAAGAATTTTATGAACTTGGAGCCCCACCATACCAATATTGACCTGGATTTGCTAACTCTAATGACTTGATACACTCCCCGTATTCGACCTTGAAAAGCACAACGCGACGTTCATTCAGTGGAAGCCGGGTTCCAGATTTCAAAGCTAGCTAGAATATGTTAAAACTAGGTATGAATAGCTGTATACAGCTCGAACTAGGGGCGAGAGGTGAGCGTTTAACTCGACGCCGACGTCGAGCTTGTACGTTACAAAGTCTCAACGATGCTTTGGTCTAAACTTTACTTTGCTAGCACTCTTTTGATAATCCGCGAAACGGAAGGAGCTACGTAGCGTCTTCACCAAAAAGCTTGAAAAGTGTCATGCACGAAGTTCTTAGTTACTGCTAAAACAGCCAAAAGCGGTATTCCCAAGATATAGTAACCGGCGGGGTCGAGAGGCTCACCGGAGCGACAACCTACCGCGCATTTGATCCTTTAGTACTTTTGAGTTTAAGCTAGAGGTGTCAGAAAAGTTACCACAGGGACAACTGACTTGTGACAGCCAGTCTTTGGTTGAGCAGTAAGCCCAAACACACAGGCGTTTAAGAGCTTTACCACGACGAGGCATGCGAACCCTGCTGAATTATACTCATCGTCATAATCATGGTATAGTCTAACCAAAAACGCCTTCTTTAAAAATCGCCGCGATTCTTGCGCTTGCCGGCGGCACGTCCATCTAACTGAGCCAAAATCAGTTCATCATTTTTGCTCTGAGTTTTGCGACAGTGCGTCGTATCATGCACTGCCATAGAGAAAGAGCACTGAGTGCTCAACTTTTTGCATTCCGGAGGAGCTGCGTAAAAAGCACATCGTTTTGAGGAAGCGACATTTTCTCATAGTTCCAATGAAGACACGTACGGTTAGGACATGGAAAGTTAGTATGGCTGCTCCCACCGAGAACTTCCGCCCACTACTCCGACCAAGACCTGAGTCGACCGTCGGACCGATTCTTTCTGGGGTAGCTCACTTAGACATAGACTTCGTGAGGTGCGGTCAAAAGAGGTCTCTTGGTGCGATGAGAAAATGTAAGAGTTGGCAATAGGAAGTGTGGTTCGAGAAATACTACCGGAACAGCAAGTATTCGCAGTGGAATTTATATATGCGCAATACCTTGGTATATAATGAAACCATCGTATCCTCAGTGAGATTCATACTTTGATGATAAAAGTGTAACGAGTTGCGTGCTTTAGTTTGGTATATGCAAATTTAGTATATGCAAACTCACAACGCTGTTGTCGCCTGGACTTGAAGCAGAGCTAGAAAGTACCAAGCTGGAGCATCATGACGAAGTTTCATGATGTGTACTTAATACTACAGGAGCAATAATCTAATGTAAAGAAAGGGTCATATGACCAATGCTCACGCTCTGCGTTTAATTACATAAAATTAGTGAGTGAAAGCAATATATTTAGAAATATTTTCAGCTAGCAATAGAGAAGCATGCCAAACGGTTACATTAATGACCTGCGATAGACCAGATTTTCAAGACATAGTGTGCCGAAGGAAGTCCTCAATCATAATAAAAGCAAGCGCGATGAAAGTGCTTGCATTGACCGACTGCTAACAGTTGCTGAAAGCATTCCGGATCGGGGTTATCAAGGATATCAGCTATTCACGATAGCCAATTACGTACGAGATACAGTTCCGCTATGGGTAAGCCGCTTCCACGACTGCTTGAATCTTCTAAAATGAACGTCATGTAACATAAACATTAGCGTGAATTAAAATCGTTTTGGTATTTAGACAAATTCACAGCCTTACTATATAAATGCCAATGTATCTATTGATTAAAAGCCTTAAGTTATTCTCATAATTCACGTCGTATTGGCACTTAAAAGTTCGGTACCAGTCATATTGATATGCGCAGAGGACTGGTTTCACTCTCGTGCAATATCCCGCAGTTCTTCTGTGTCAATACCTGTTACACTAATAACTTGCTGGTCACATCGCAAATCTAGTATTGCTCGTAGCAAACAGTTGCTACGGGCTACGAAAGCTCTTTGTAAAAGCAACCAGGTTACATCTCAACTAGAACTCACAAAACTTTATACTAATTTTAGAAAACGGTTGGACATAAACTTCACCTAATTGGATGATGTGGTGCACACAGTAGTTTAAAATGATGCACAGCAAATTCCGCATTCAAATGGCACATTGTACATTCAATCTCGTAGCGCTGGCTGCCGCGATCATATGCACCGAAAGGTACGAGTTTGACAAGTTATTATAGAATATGTACATTAGTTTGCTGCATCACTGCTACAAATTTGATAACATCAAGCGAGATATTGCCAATTATCTACTGATTCAAACGTGATGATTGCAGTTTAGATCTCTCTCACCAACAACTAACAAGAATCACGAGAACTAGCAATTTATTTGCATTCTACAATGACAATCAGCTCGTCACAACAGTCTCAAACTCGAATCTTTCGCTAGAATCACATTTATTACTGCAAAACAATTCGCTCACGAACATTCCACTATCGCTCTTCCAGGCCGCTAATAATGTCAATTTCATGTACGCTATACACTACAAGATGATTATTTTTATACTGACAGAATTCCTTTGAACATGCTTGATACATACAGAGACATTTCTTATAATCCTCTTGTTCATCTCGAAGCAGGTTCTTTCGTCGGGATGCCGAATCTCCACATTCTTCTGTACGAACTTTTATGGAGAGGGGAATGGAATATACTTTGACTTAATTCTGTCGTATTGTAGGTGCACAAATACAAATATTACGGTGCTACCCGATAATTGTGTACGTCACTGCCCTCAATTACACACGATCTCATTCAATCAAAGTACAATAAATCAAGTTGAAGAACAAGCACTCACAGATTTAGCAGCATTACATTCATTGGATCTAAGCCACAATAAGCTTGAAAATATCCCAAGTACATTGTTTACAGTCTCGACATCGTGGAAAGCTCTCGACTTTTCGCATAATTATATCCAAGAGGTTCCATTTGGCATCCGAAATGCTGTGGCTGAAGGATTTATGTATGTCAAACGTGACATAGATATGTATTGAACGATCTTGTTTGTCTGATTGAATACTTTGGCAGCTCCTTCGACTACAATGCATTGATAGAGATTGAAACGGGTGCGTTTGCTGATGCCTCGGAAATTCATGAGCTTCGATTAGCGTCAAATGCGATCTTTACACTCAATTCGAGAGCTTTCGTCGGAATGTCAGCACTTCGAAAGTTGTGCGTACACTTTTGAACTATGACACATGACAAATTATACTGACAAATTTGAAGCAGAAATTTAAGTGATAATGTCATCTCTTTAATTGATATCGACGCATTTGTTGGAGTAGACGGACTCGAGGATCTCATATTAGACACGAATAATATTCATCGTCTGACTCTATCGTCTATTCCGAGTGGCTTAAAGCGTTTAGAGCTGCAAAATAACTTATTGGATGTCATGCCAAATTACCCGGATGACTTTAAGGCATCCCAGCTAATCTATTTGTACGTATCGCTATCAGTAGTATGAAGATTCATCTTTCTCAAATGAGTTCATGAGACTAGAAATCTCAGTCACAACTTCTTGTGGTCAATTTCGACTAATGATGCGCTGAAGCCTTACATTGGACTTAAGACATTGTAAGCCTTATGTCTAATATTCCAATATTACCTTGGAAAATTTTTCTTACTTTGGCTAAAATGTGTTTCAGAGATCTCAGCAATAATCGTATCGTGAACTTCAGTGGCGCTGTCTTTGACCCAATTATGACAAGCATCGAATTCATGTGTGTACTACTTGCAAGCTCTGCCTAAGGTTCAAACTTATTGACTGATGGAATGTTAGAAATTTTGACTCGAATCTCATCACGTCGATTCCGAGCACAAATTTCATCGCATTAGTCACGAAACTACGGACAAATATGTATGGACACAATTTGTCTTCTCGGTTTCTATCGCTGACACTAACTTGATGTTGTGATAGAACCTTAAAAAATAATCCTGGGATTGGCTGGTCATCAAGCACTATGCGTCCGCATTGCCCGGGTGGAAGTGTTTTAAACAAACTTGTACTCTATGTAGCATCTCAATCTACTGATAGTGTCTATCTCTACGGATGCATTCAGTGTGTTGCTGGTACCTTTCACGATAACTCGACTGGAAGCTGTACATTATGTACACAAGTCTCTCCACGAGCGTATTCGGAAATTGATGGCGCGACAGACTGTTTGTACTGTCCTTACTCGTCTGACTTGGCACTTGGTCGAACACATTGCAACGACTTTCAATGCAACATTCTGTGTTGGCTGACAATATCAATGAGCATTGCGATTCCAGGAGTCATTTTCACTAGCAAGTTTTTGCTTTATTTTATTATGAGAAGCTCCAAACACTCACGTCAAGCGAGTATCAAAGAGCAAGAAGCAATGAACGATTGGCGCATGGGACTTTTAATGCATGAATTGGCTGATTCTTGCACTCCAAGTGATTCGTTAATGAAGGATGAAATTGATGAAGAAGCATCTGATCGTGGTGAAGTGCCTTTAAGGATCTATGATCTTCCAGAAGAGACGAGAGAATTAGTACTCAGTACTTTACGAGATTATTTTCAAATTCGCAAGGAAAAGCGATGGCAAGCACTCTCCATTGAGGAACATGAAAGAACACGTGATTGGCATGACGTCGAGTGGGAAAGTTTTCACATGCATCGAATCCTCAGTCGAAGTTATCATGGTGAAGTCTTTCTGGGTGATTACTGTGGAACGCAAGTCGTTGTAAAACGATTGATGACACTACGATTCAACGTTAAGGAATTAGCAGATATGATCAAAGATGTAGAGTTGATAAGCTCTTTTCACCATCCACACATTGTCACATGTCTTGGGACAATGTGGTCGAATAAAGAGCATTTTTGCATCATTTACGAGTACATTAAAGGCGGAGACTTGGCTGCGATCCTCGAGATCAATGGTCTGGATAGTCTTGATCGACATGATGCAGTACTATCACAACATTCAGCATCTTCAGATGAAGAAATGGAGTCTCAAAAAACGATTTTTCGCATATCGAAATCTGCGCTTTTAATTCGATTTCAAATGGCACTCGATATTTGCATGGCACTCGTATATATGCACACCCAAGGCATTTGCCACAATGATTTACGAAGTCGAAATATCTTGGTAAATGAAGTCTATCGTTGTAAAATAGGTGATGCTCGGCACTTTAGTCGCGATGAGACGCACCATGCTACTCATGTAACGCTTACGGAAAGCGTTGCAGTAGAGTCGGATGGAGATTATAGCGAAAATTCGGAAGACACGCGATTGTTCCAACCAGAACCGGAAGTTTCTCATATTGATATTTCTCCAACACTATCGTTGGTGGCTCCAGAAATATTGCAGCATAATTCTCGACATCTTCATGTGGACATTTACAGCGTTGGAATTGTACTGTTGGAGCTTTGGTTTCAGTCGTATATTAACATTCGAAAGGATTCGTTAAATGACGACAATAAAGAGCGAAATTATCCTGATAAGATGCAATTTAATAGTCACAAGACAGCCAGAAATTCTACCGACAAAGGATGTTCCGATCCGAGGAATATGGAGCACAATGCTGCAATGCATCACTTTATTTGCAAATTGCGTATGCTCGCGAATGTTAGCACGGATTTGGAAGCTGATGAAAACAGTTTTGGTACAACAATGACTTCTTCATTGACTCTTTCACGTTCGTCTTCGAGCGCTGTTATTGATATAATGTTAAAAACTATTGAAGATTGTCTACAAAGTGATCCAAAACGTAGACCAACGGCCAGTGCGCTCGTACATTTATTTCAACGATTTGTTGACGAGATTAATGCAAGTAAATAAAGTCGGAAACAACCCGACCAGACCTTTCCAGAATTCCATCACTCTCATGAGTATATCATCATGGTAGTTCAACAGGGTACTCTTGAGCTTCGTTTGATGTTTGAAGGACAGCAGATTAATGCGTGCGCACACCATGCTGGCTGTAACACTACTCTTCAAGATGGATATCCCATTGAATACACAACCATGTCGTCTTACACTCGGTGAATGCTCTAAGGTAACATTGTCTACGTCTACACTTGCTTCGCGTAACGTTTAATGTCAAGCAGACATGGATCGAATTCTAAATCTGAAGCATCGACACTAAAAGCTGAAGAGACAGGCATATCCAAAGACGCCAACCATCACATTGAATATTGATTTCAGGATGTGAAAAAACAGCCTATTTACGCTGTGTGAACGTCAGATACACTTCTTGAGCGTGCTGCGCGCTCATGTATGCGCTGTAAAAACGCCAATGCTAGACAATCTTTGCCAAGACGCTATCACGAAAGCTAGAGTATGTGATATGGGATTTGATTTTCTCTTTTATCTTATTTTGGTGGATGACATTCTTATTTTGCTTGCAGCTCAAATATAAAGTTTTACTGTTTCAAATAAACTTTGAGTGTCATGCAAAGGTGTAGTCAACACTTTCACTGTAGAAACACATTCTTTGAAGAACCCTCAAAATTTGTGAGATGGCTTGTATAGTAAAGCCTTACAAAAACGGCAAGGCGGGATGTTGATTTGAGCGATTCCAAAACCTGCTGACCCTTTATGATTGTACCGATAAGTAGAAGGTAAACTATATTATAGCCTCCTCAATATTAAATCCAAATCATTAGTCTTATCATAATGAATATTTGCTATGAACGGATCCCATAGTCTGATCTTTGTGAATGGTAAGACAATGGGAAGACGATGTTCTTGAAAAAACAGATCCTTACGACGTGGAACTTCCTTGGACTATTTCTTTGTAGAATTCTGAAATCTATAGCGCTTACAATCGTACTCCACCTGTCGATTAGGCTCTAAACAATCATGGGCGCCAAACCATTTGTCTTCATTGAGCAGCCAAAATAAATTATACTATACCTTGTATGATGTATAAAAACAAAGTATAATATATTACAGGTTCTACGAGGTGGGAGGTATAATTTAGCTAAATATATAGCAATTTTATTTGTCGTATCAATTCCGTAGCAGCTCTTGTACCTCATCGCTCACGTCTCAGCGCATCGATGACATGATTTTTGGCTATTAAATTATCGTGCGGCCTTTAAGTGCGCACGCCAGTCAGACGCTGGCTTCGCTCCCTAGCTATGCAAAAAAAAATATTTGAAGATATTTTGCAGCAATCAAATAACTGTTTTAAGTCCAGATTTTTCGCATACGACGGAAATTTTCCGTCGTATGCAGTTGTTTTTTATATATCACAGTTACATATTCAGTTTAAGAATCACATCTGCTTGTACTAATTTATAGCTTCAAAGCTACACATACCTCTTTTAATGCCTCAAGTCATGTGAATCAGTCAAAAGATCTTTGATTAGGCTTCAAATCAAATCCAATTACGTGCTAGCAACTAATACGTATGGCTAATAAATTGACAAGATCACTGAGACATTGGGCTTTTTCTAAATTAAGTAACGTTGTGAAGGTACATTTAGAATCCTTTTGAAATGGGACGGTACAACCAAGTCTTTTGTTCAGATAGTTAGCTGCAGCTTTCACTCATGTCGCGTGCGACGGCCAGAGATGGCTGAGATACGTTTCAAACTGCTTCACTTGATGTTTTCTTACATTGTCATTCTCCTTTTTCTTCTAAACGTCTCAAGACGAATTTGATCAAATCGCGTAGTCTTTCACTCAACCACTTTTTCTCCAAAATGTCCGTCTGGCCATGTACTTCAACGAGTAATGAAGGTCTTGTGAAGAATTTAAACCGTAAAAGTGTAATCCGATCAAATGATGTGATTCATGCTATGATGAAGACGGATCGTGCTAATTATGTAGCACAAGTGGAAACTCCAGATGGTGGACAGATTGGTGAGTTGGCGGCGTATCAAGATAGTCCCCATCCTATTGGGTATCATCAAACTATCTCAGCTCCTCATATGCATGGTCATGCAATGGAATTGGGATACGAAGCGATTAAAAACGTCAAATCTCCTCGTATATTAGATGTTGGGGCTGGTTCTGGGTATCTTACAGCATGTTTTGGTCGATTGGTAGAAGGTCGAGGTGGATTGGTCTTTGGACTTGAAATTGTACCTGGATTGGTCCATTTTGCAAAGAAGAATATTCAAACTGCTGATAGCGATTTAATAGATCGTGGAATTGTGTCTTTGCGGTGTCATAATGGATGGGATGGACTACCAAATGAAGCACCTTTTCATTTTATTCATGTTGGAGCTGCTGCTGAGACTCCACCTCAAGCTTTAATGGATCAATTGGCAGATGGTGGACGTTTGGTAGTACCATTGGATGAGCCACGTGGTGGTCAAGTATTAGTGGAAATTACACGACACGGTACAAGTTACTCGCAGCGTCGTTTATTTGGTGTCTGCTATGTGCCACTTGTTCGTGAACGTGAGCGCAAGATGAGCTAAGAATGTTTTTTTGATAGTATGTAGTAATGAAAGAGATTTCGTAATACTAATGTAAGATTTCTAATTTGGGAAATATCAAAATTGAGATTATTTCTATATTATGCATCTAATACATTATGCAATTGTTCGACAAAGTACTGAATTTCGTTCATTTGAATCTCGATCACTGCACTTGTAAACCCATTTTGTCGAAAATTTGCCCCAGTTTCACCTGCTGCCAATTTAAATGCCGTACCCAAAGTACTGCAAACATTAAATTATAAAAAACGTCAGTCTTTTCACTCACCTCTGAAATCACATAATAACGTACTTTCGATGAATTTCGCCAGGTGTGGATGGACATGTCAAGCCAACAATCAAGAAACAATTTTGGACTGGATTACGTGTAATCAGCACAAGTGGAACAATAGTTTTCGCCGTTCTATCAACCGTTTCATCGTCATCATCTCCATCTTCTCCGTCTCCATTTTCCACTTTTTTCCGTCCTAATCCATTTGTCCCACCCCATTTTCCACTTGCACGATGCACATTGAGTAAAAACAAAGCTAATTGGGTCAAAACATTTGCATGTGCAAAAAGTTCTTGTTCTCGCTCAGGAACATTAAGACAAACATAGCGAAAATGTTTTACTCGCACAATTAATTTTCGTTCCATAATTGAAAGTCCAACCCGTACAATCGCTTGTTTAAGTGACATGGCAACTTTAATGCCACTTTCCATTAATTTGCTCGATGCCACAGAGTGGCATGCAAGTGCTGTGTGTGCCAATATAAAATTTTGTTGCCGAAAATCGGCGTTGGGTACATTTTCGTCTGTACCCGTACTGCTATCGTCCATATTGAATTTTATGATAGAATCAAGAGTACCAGACCCCCCTGTCCAAACATTTTGTTGAGACCGTGTTTCTTTCTCAAACACTGTCGCCACATAACTCTCAGGTGCCTCTAATAATGCTTGTAATCCATACACTGCATCAGCGGCACACAATTGGTACTGAAATGCAAATATGCGTCGAAAAGACCCATAAAATAGGTCATCAAGCCCAAACTCAGGGGCCATTTCTTGGGTCTTGTCCCGCAACATTTGTTTCATTTCTAATGGCATGTAAGTAAATTTTTGTTGACTTTGTCGTAATGAAAAGCCCATACGTGCAAGAAAGACATGTAATGCTGTATCTCCAGCCTTTCCACTTGAATCAAATGCATTTCGTGCACCTACACGACGTGCTTGATTGTGATAAAGTCCAAGTTTTGATGCAACATAATCAGAATAATACATTGCATCATATAAAGACCAATGACGATAACACATAAAACGATATTCATCTTCAAATGTTATTTTTCCATCGTGATATCCTGGATGTCGATCATTTTCAGTATCAAGTTCATTTGAAATGGGAGCATCAATTGCTAAAACTTCATCTTGAAAGCGTGAAATCATTAAATTATAATTATCGGTAGCAATTTCTTCAAGTAGAAATTGTTTTGTAAGTCCAAGAATTGCAAACCAAAGCAAATCGCGTTGTGCACGATTCACTTGTTGTGCTAATTCAAATGCTATCGTTGCAGCAGGTGCACCGTGAAATGATCCACGATAATAGCGTAAAATCTCTTCTCGACGTCGTCGTTTTATCATTCCATCACTTTCTTCAACTGGTTCATTAAAACTCAACTCTCGCTCTTTTCTTCGTTTATGACTTTCTTCTTTTTCTTCGTTCTCGTTTTCTTCTTCTTCATTCTCTCGTTTTCTCTTTTCATTTTCATCTAAAGTATCTTCAGTACGAAATTCCACTTCTGCTTCTTCTTCACTCTCTTCTTCTTCACTTTCTTCTTCTTCTTCAAAATCTTCTACATCCAAATCATCTCCAAATGCTGGATATTCTTCCAATGTCAATGCACCATCATCAAACACAATAATCTGTTGATGTTCATCATATATATTTGCTAAATGAATTGGACGATGACTATCAAGTATATAACATTTCACACATATCGGAAGACCTAGAACTTTTGTCACATCCACAATCGCACCACAATTAAGCATAATAATCGATCGTAAATCTCCACTTTGTTCGATTCCATCAACAGTAGAAATTCGAGTTTCACACGCCTGATAAACATCCTCATACCCTCGTACAGCAAGTAGTGAATAACTCAACATATCACCACGTAATAATCGTGTGAGGATCTCAGCAGCACATAATGCATCAACATCAAATGCTACAAGAATTAAAATGCTACAATTCCCACCAGATTGAAATGCATCATGTTTAATTTGACCATAAGCTGCGTGAAACTCTTCGCGTGGCCATAGCATGATTTTACCCAACGCATAAAGGAAGACGAGAGTAATGTGAAAAACATAATATACGGCAAACCTGATTGATGTACAATACATATAGAAATACAGATTACGTTTTGAAGTGTAGGGTTGTACAAACTCGTCGATACGTGTTCATTTCTCGTCTTTCCACCAAGTGATAAGAAGACACGTAACTTTTGATCAGATCACGTAAAGTTATGTCGCTTGATTTCTCGAAAGTTGAGAATAATCCTGTCCCTTTGATTGCTGAAAAGCATAATCAAAACGTCGCGTTCGTTGTGTACCGTAACAAGAACAAGAATGTTGTCGTGTATGCTGCGAATCTACTTGAAGATGGTACAATTGATCCTGCGAATCCATTGGATGTATATTGGGTCATGTTTGAACAAGATGGCCATCCACGTGAAGATCTTAACATGATTGAGCGCAATACGGCGTATGGAGCTACTGTGAAACCACGTCCTGGTCATCCTGGTGAATATGAAGTCACACTTACGTCGTTAAAAGACCGCGTGATCTACCTCTCTATTGTGGATGGTAAGCCTGTAGGTCGTGGCTGTATCAATGGAAAAGAAGGTTGTACCCTTGAGCGTGTATTTGTCCTCTCAACTTCGTCGTGGGGTATGCCAAAGGTACAACACATTGAGATTCACGGTAAAGACGCTGAAGGTAACGCCATTATGGAGAAAAAGATTCCGTAATTTTTCAAAGTTACGATGTTGAAGATGATTTTAAAATGTAATAGAAAAATCAATTTGCGAATTGTAATTATTTAAATGTGTAACTTACAAAGAAGTGTAACGTGTGAAGCCTATTTTTAGCGAATTGACGCTTGTTGTTATGTCATGATAAGCATTTGGCGTTCATTAAAAAGACGTGGTTTTGGATCAACATTTGCAGTTAGAAGACATTAGTGATGACGGATGTTGAAGACTCGGCTGTGAATGATTTTTTATTAATTCTCGAAGAACATCGCAAGAATTGTGAGCGACTTGGTAAATACGTTGAAGCGGAAGTAGCAAAAAAGCGTCTTGAAGAGTTAAAAGTTCATGAAGAGAATCGACGAAAAGAAGCGATGCGATCACGACAAATTGCTGAACGATTAGGAGTAGAAGAAGCTCATACGCTTGAGTTTCAGCAATTTAATGTGATTTGGGACCAAACGATGGAGGCGTATGAACGCAATGTTGAAACTTTGATTGTGAAGATGAATGAGAAGCAAAAGACTGAGTTACTAGAATTTCAAAAGAAGCTGTTGGAGAAAAGTCATAAACCAAAGTTTTCAAAGGATCTGCTTAATCTTCGACGGATTGAAGAACACTTGGCACGTCAAAAAGAGTACGTTTATGGAAGAAGACCTTTTTTGAAATGAGGTTCATTATGTGCGAAATATGTAGTTATGGTGAAGCACACAAAATTAGGCTGAAGTCAGAAGCTTTAGAAGCTTGGGAGCTTGAAAGATGGCGTCATTTAAAGCAGCAGGAAATGTTTCAACGCGAAGCAACTTATAAGCAACGACAAAAGCAGGATCTTGATGCACTTCAAAAGCGCATACAATCTGGAAGAGAGGAACAGAAGAAACAGCGTCAGATAGACCTTGAACGGTGCGTTTCTATTTGATTTTGAAATCTTTCACATCTGAAAATTGATGCTCTTGTAGTCTCTTACAGCGGTATCAAAATATTAAAGCAGAGCTGCAGCAACAGCAGAATCTAGAGCGAATTCGGCACGAAAAGTCTGCTCAGCGTGTAGGAAGTAATACGAGATAAGTTAACACTTGGCTAGCTAGCACTTGATTTTCTTTTACCTCTGTCTAAGAACATTTGACATTGCAGTAGCATATTCGTTCTCACTTCGATGCATGACATGGCTTGAAAACATAAGTCGCTTAGTCTCGTCGCACTGCTTTAAACGCCTTTTTATTCTGTAGCACCATATAGAGCATTGGAAGGACCACACCCAGTAATAGAATTAGAAATCCAGTCACGTAGGCGCCCGACGCGTATGACACCGACACTTCATTCATCCTTCAGAAAATAGAAATAGTCAGCTTATTTCTTATTTTTTTGGTCCTAATAAAAATATTGTACCCAATTGACAATTGGTGGTCATTTCATTTGATTAGTGAATATGGTGCGTATACAGCCATTGCTGCGCTCGATACAACGAGGATCTGGTCGGTATTTCTCATCAACAATTGTACCTGAGACTGAAGCAAAAGGACCACCATTTGCTCGCTACTTTTGGTACACAACGGGCATCATGTTAGGCATTCCAAGTGTTATTGGTGGCGTTTTCATTTACAATTTACAAACGGACGACGAATTCTACTACCATTTTAACAACCGATATCCAGACTTGATCAGTTTGATTAATAGATATGTGCCATTAAATGAATCACTACTGGAATTAGCTAAACGAGAGGATATTGGGCCGATAGGGTCGACGGAAGAATTGATGAACGAGAGTAAGTAGCTACTATTATTTATATAGTTTGAAATTAATAATATTATTGTCATTTTGTAGCAACACAAGTGGTGGCAAAGCTTCAATCAGGGCAAGAAGTTCGTATTCAAGTACTAGGTTCAGCTAGTCAGAAAGAGATTGAGACACTTGCTAGTAAAGAATCAAGTCAACCCAATGATCCAGTTGTAAGTATCATTTTTGATGAAGGAGAAAACAAAGAGAAACGAATGATGGTACCTACTACGCAAGAAGCTTGGCCACCTGCACCACGTATTACTTGGGGTAGTGCTGCTAGCTTGCAAAAGACAAAAAAACCAATTGATTCGGTTAAGGAGTTACGACTTCAAATTGAAGAAATACGTTCTCAACAAGCGGCAATTGAAGAATCTAAATTTGCAGGACGTGATATTGATGAAGCAGATGAAGAAATTGCCGTGCTGGAGCAACGAAAGATTGCGTTAAAAGAACAACTTCCACCGAAGCGATTTCTGTGGATTTTTTAAATTTGAAGAAAGAATTTTAACTTGTAATGTTGATAATTGTTCTTTATAGATGTAGGTATGACTAATGAGGAGTTTTATTGAAATTGATAAAATATTAGTTTGTCTGTACATAGAAACCCAAAAAATCCAGTGAAATTTATTAAAACTTTTCAGCCATAAGTGTACACACATGTATAACATAAACGTTTCTTCAATCATAGAAATAACGTTAAATCACCTTACGAAATGGCGATGACTGTCTCGATTTTCAGGCTTTCCAATCACGTGGTAGACTCTACAGCAATCAATTAGAATTAAGGCTGAGATTCACAGTCGATAAAAGCGCGACATCTAGAGAAATAATGTTATAACCACCAATAAATACGGGACGCATGTTTCTCCAATCATGGTAATAATCACTAAAGGCGGTAAAAAACACTTGCTGACCACCTTATTTCAATATCAATACAAATTCAATACTCGTAACATTACCATTCTCTTCATTCCAGCCTTTGGTATCTCAGTACTTGACACAATGTATCCGAGAGTTTCAAACTCTTCTTCCCACTTCCATTCTATAGACAATCTCAATCCTAATCTTATACCTCATACTCTCTTCCACATCGTGAATCCATTCCTTACAACTTTTAAGTTAAACAAAAGATCTTGTCCATGATCTTGTACTTGCGATATGTTTTGAATAGTATACTAAAATCAAATGAAAAGAATCTCCATAATCGATAAGACTGACACTTTATTATTTCCCATTTTGTAGTTTAATTCCATGACGGAGGCCGTTTCTCGTCCTCCCGTCAGCAATGGACTTGTTTCCACCATGACGTTTGATATAGAGGAAGATGCGGTAATTACGTCGCATCAAAGACAAAATGACGTCACTTCGACACGATTACGGCTATACCATCAAGAGTGTAAGACACAATTAGACACGACATTGCGACTTTATCAAGAACGTCAAGAATACGCTCATCGGTCATGTTTACGACAGAATCGAACGCTAGTACCTCGATCAAGTGATAGCTATTTAAATGATGATTGGACGGATACTCGTGTATGGAAATTAATACGTGAGAGTTGTGATATTAGTGTATACCGATTAAAGACACGACAAGAACGAACAAGTACTGTCCAAGCAATTGGTACAATTCATGGTTCATTATCAGATGTAATGAATGGATTGTATGCCGATTCAACGAAAACAGCAAGAGTACTACAAATGTTATTAAGTCCACGATCTTTGGATACACGTATTTTACAAGTCGATAAAAGATGTACGGAGATCAATCCATTTCAATTTTCGGGAATTATATGGATGGCAATTAAATTACCTGGTCTGGGATTATGTCGACATCGAGATTTTGTTTGTTTTAAAAAAATGGATGTCATTAAAGATGAAATGGGTCAAGAATTTGGGTACTTGATATTGCAATCGATTGATCAAGTAAATGACAATATCAATTTCAATGAGTCCAATCATTATGTTCGTGGATTTATTTCACTTGTTATTATCTTTCATCAAGTTGGTGATGATCGTGTAGCCATGTTTGGATCTGGTCAATTTGATCCAAGTGGTCGTTTATCACCTCTTGTAGGTGATAATTGTGTCGCAGAATGGTTCATTTCAATGGCTAATACTGTTGAAAGTGGACAAGCAAAGAATCTGTCACAACTTTTAGTTCGTTCCATGCATGAAAATGAATATGTTGCAACCTCTACATCAAGATCACGTTGTGGCATATGTGCACGAACACTCTTTTTTTGGGACGTACCACGAAATTGTCGAGGTTGTTGGAAGGTATGTTGTCGTACATGTCGTATGACGAAACCGATCTTTTGTGCACATTCACACACTATGAATACACCAAATTTCTCATCAGGACCTTGTACAGAGACATTTTGTCTTGCTTGTGTCTGTGCTGTGATTCCATCTGGAGCTACAATGAATGCACGTTTGCTTCAACGTTTAGCAAAAAAGAGAAAACGAACACCCACAACATTTCGACCACCACTTACAACATGTGTAAATATCGAAGAATCAAATGTCAAACAACATGAAACTCAATTGATTGATGTCGAAGTTTCATCAATTTCGATTCTTTCGTCTCGTGAATCGGAAAAGTATCAACAACATCGTTTAAGTCTCAATGCTCGACCGAAAAAACGTGCATTTGTGCAAATTCATTCGTTGTATCAAGAAGAAAAAAGTGATGAGACATTGGAAGTATTGGAACATTATCAAATGCAACATCAAGACACAATCTCGGAAGTCTCTTCCTCGATATTTGGGACATCCTTACGTTCATTTACATCAGCAGATTTAGGCTCCATTGAAACGACATCACTTCAACTTGGACGCTATCCATCTGGACATAGTCTTGTAACACACAATCAAAGTTTTCACCACCGAGTTGGACTTCCGATGACGTCACGACAAAATCCAGTTGATCGTTCAAATTCATTGAAATTTCAAGCTCAAAGTAGTTTTTGGCTACCACGTCAATCAACTTTAATCAAACGATCGATGGAATTGACATCTCAACTTGGTGATGATTATTATCATCGTCTATTGCAAAATTATCTGCTTCGTACGTATAGCAGTCAAAGTATAGCAAGTAGCTATGGATGCAAGTCAACATCACTTGCAAAAGTACCAGAACCACCAATTTCCAACGAGTCAAATGTCGTGTCGGAATCTCAAGCAAGTGATACGCGAGATGCAGTGAGCTTTTCATTTCAACAAACGACGTCAGAGCTGCCACCGGATGTTGTCATTTACCGCAAATTTAAGTGAAATTTATTGTTTAAAGACATTGAACTATGATAATAAAAATAAAGAATTTGTCAATAAGTCATGAAAATTAGATGGAAACAGTAATCTTTTATACTTTCAAATGTCCAAAATATGATACGTACACTGGAGCTTTTCTCTCGTTCCGAGGGCAACACTATTGCACCTTAAAGGTTTCAAAGCTCGTGAGAGGTTCATGTCGTGAAGAAAGCTTCGACAAACTTCATAGGGCGGCCCTTATGTATAAGTGGGTAACACATATATGCACACGTGTTAAGCATTTCAGCAAAATATTCGCATCACAAGCGTTGGCACGTTTGGCCAGCCTAATATTACTAGCGGAGTGCGGATAGTCCGTCAGCATGAACATTCTTTGTTCCTTTGAACGACGCCTCTGGTCATACCAGTCGTGTGTCCTTTGTGGACCATCAAATATCAAATGATCGGGTGGAACGCATGAATTGCGCTGTGGTGGATTTACTCGAAGGATTTGCACGAAGAGACCTTGGAGCTGGGTTGAGTTGCCCCACTCAATGAGTTGTGTCGAATGATGCAGCGCATGACAATACATGTTTCACTCTAATATGAAGATGGTTGAATTGTATTTGGCTCATTCAACAACTTCACGAAGTAGCTTCGTTCTTAGTGGTGGAGAAGTTGTTGATCCTCCAAATTTATATGTATCATCCCGGCTATACTTTGTACTAGGAGAAAATCCTTTCAGTGGGATTGAGCGTCATGCACCGGGTGCAAGACGCTACAGTTGAGGGGTACGACAACATAAGCAACACGCTGCACACACACTCACACACTGTGCAGGGCAAAAGCCTTATTGCATGCAGTTAACTTACCTACACATGAAGTGGTGCAGTCTACTTTATTAAGTTGAGCCCGCTCTACAACGGACCGCTCACGGTCGAAGTGAAAATTATTAAGCTATATCCCTAATATTTCGAAGGAATGCGAGCACGATCAGTGTTTTACGCGGGCTGAATTAAGCTATATCATGATCCCAATCTTACGAGACAGTCAGACGTGAGTAGCTCGGCTACAGTTGGAGCATCGTCTCTACCATCTCTATAGCTGATCTACCCTCTACTCCACAGCGGTGACGCAATTATGAATTGATGGATTGGCCGGCAGTATGGTGGTGACGTACAGAGAGTGAATCTACACTTTAAGGCCGTTTGCATGAGCGAGCTCACGAGAGCTAGTCAAGGGAGGTTCTACGTCCATCGATAGGGCACTCTCACGTAGAATGTTAGTTGGACGGCGGATTCACCAGGGCTGTTTTTGATACCTGGGAAAACTTAAGTGATTTTGGGTTTCCACTTCGTCAAAAAGCACTCGTGTCTTGATTATTTATGCCCTGGTGCACACTCGGCATGAGTCTCCCTTGAAGAAGAGGCAGGCTCGCCCGTCGCAGCGCGACTTTTACAAGTGGAAGGTAATTGATCTCGAGGAGAGTTAAAACCCTGGAAGGTAGCTTTAATGCTAATTTATGGAGCCCAACGGGGCTGTAAGCAGTAATAACTGGGGATGAAGGAGTTGCCATTTTGACGTCCGAGTCGTCCGCTGCACTTTGCAAAGTCAAGCATGAGACATGCCTAAACGGTACCCCTGACATGCGAGATGGTAAAGCGCTCGTGTAGCGGCTTTTCACGCTCAACTCACGCTTGGTGTGAGAAGAGATCTTGCGCGCATGAGCGTGAAGAACTCCACATCAGCGGAACGTGCAACTTCAGCCATCTTAAAAGTCATCTTAAAGTCACGGCGTCATGACTTGAGCAAAAGTCGGCGCGAATTTTGCGCTCGCGGTAGAACAAGCTGGGCTCCTTGAATCAAGTCTATTTTGCAGTAAGCGAGCTCAATTTCGTTCTTTCCATCATGGCGTGAAGGGCAGCGGGGTGGAAGAGCGCGGTGAGCACATCCGCCTTGGAAAACGGCTAGGCCGGGTTCTGCTGGGTAACGGAGGAGGTGTTAAGTCGGACTTGGCAAGTTACAGGACCCGTTTACCCTCCAAAGCAAAAAGTCACGTGTTCCATCTAGTTGCGGAGGTTTAGCGGTTGTATTATCCAATCATGTCAGGCACATTGAATAATGTTTGCCATCTTTGCTGTCAAGCACGATCTCAGTTTGATACAGCGGCTACCGACCGGATACTTTGGTGATATTTGTCGAAGAGCAGCTTGAATATATCCCCACTTGTCATGTTATTTCAAAGTGCACCTTCATAAGCCATTTTTTCACAAATACCACAATGCCAGGGAGCCCTGACGCGCCTTTAGGATGACCAAAAAAATGAGTCCATACTAATGGCTCTGCAGGGACCGGCACGCTGTTCAAAAAGCCGCAACATGCAGCGAGGTTTTAGCCCGATGACACATGTCACACGTGCAAACATATGCGCTTACCCACATATACATTTTGGGCTATCTATACCTAGCTTTTGCTGATCAGGATGTCTTTAACTTCAGAGGTGGTAACCTAAAGGGGTACATGGCCCTCAAGCAGAATTTATGCTTGAAATTTACAACGTGAGGCACCACTACACGCTGAGTGTCATGTAGATTTTGGCTATAATACAGCAGAATCTGAAATAAGGTATAGCGGGACGGGCGCGCAACCGCGTATTTCGATGGGTCGCAAAATCCTTACTCCAAAGCTTTCAGCAGCGCAAAACATGCTACATTTGACCCGTATGCTGCACATATCGCATCATCAATGGACTACGTCACCATCTTGATGTATGCAGCTAATATTCTTGGTGAAGCGAAAGCGCATCCCCACCATATAAAGCCGAAATAGCTCATAACTTACCCCGAAAACGTAACTGGCAAAAAAGGAATAACATCTCGCCATCCTCTGAAGGAGATGTGGTGACGACGTTAATGTGCGTAACAGCGCTAATTATATGATCCTCAAATGGCTTAGAGCCTAGTAGGTACATCCGGAACTTGACGAGATTACTTTACTGAAACTAGTGCCTTGTTGTCGACAGGACAGTTCTTTTCTTGTCCAAGCTAGCAAGTTACAAACGCAATCACGCGTACATATCACTAGCATTTCCATCATTCAGAGCACGGCCTTTAGTAAAAGCCGAACCACCACAGTCGACATGTAAAGGTCGAGCTAGGTTTAAGAGATCCTAGTCCGAGAACACATTATACTTCTTTTTGCTGCCTTGGAGGCCGCCTCTCCTGCCGCACTCAAGCACTATTTTGAGACCCATTTAAACAATATTGGTGAGGGGTAGTGTCATGTCGTTTAATTTTGCAGTATATTTGTACAAGTAGTTGGTCAGGCCAATCCACTTGCTTAAATACTTTAAGAGGAGACGTATTGTCCAATTGACAAGTGTGTTTGTCTTTGCGGGATCTGCCTATAGGCAATACTTCCCAATGCAGCAACCTCGAGGGGTGATTTTGCTTGAGCTAGAGATACACTTGCATATGTCGCGAACGGCTTATTAAAGCGCATACACTTAAGATGTGAATCTGCACACTTCGTGCTCTGCACGACAATGGACTAATGTTTCGTCGAAACAGTTTCGACAATTTCCACGACGTGACCGAACGAGCTGTGGCACCAGACAATTGAACGTTGCTGGATACGACGGATCCTGTGGCGTGACCAGCTAGTTCAGCGTATCTGGCTCGAAGTGCTCACGGGAGCAAGGAGGAATTCGCTGTCTTTATCCACCATTTAGTTCATGGGCACGGAGCAAAATGCATCTGATCATGCTATTCAGCAGCTCATCCATTTTAAAAATAGTGGTTTGCGCCAAATTTGTGTCTTCTTCTGATTGGTATATAAGCATGCTCAATTCGCCACTCGCCGTTAGCCCTTTTGACACAGAAAGTCGGCACGAATCGAGAGAATACACTTCCTCTCGGTGCGCGTACTTCTGCTTTGGATATTATAAAGATTCTATGACGTCGCACCTTTTATTTGATTAGGCATATAATATGTGACGCAAAACTGAGTGGTCAGGAACCGAGTCAATTTGACAACAAATGCCCAAAAGCGCGATATGTTACTTGTAAAACTGCTCAGAGGTGTAAAGTGTACGTGTACCATCGTACAGTTCGTGCCCCACCACAGAAACCAGCTTGTTAAGCTGTTGGACAGGTGAGACGACATGTATTTTTCACCCGGTGAGCAAAGTGAGCACAATACGCTTCAGAACATACGCCAGCATTCGATAATACAGATACAGTCCTCATGAAGGGTAACTTGAGGAGATATCTGTTGCTCCAAGAGTAAGCGGTAACCTAGAAAGCATTTGCGGGGCAGATTCTAAGCAATCTTTTGCCTTCTATTTATGCGGAAGGCCCACACGCGTAGGCATGTGAGGGTTTCGCCACGGTACAGCACGAAACATCAGATCAACCAGATTCATAATCACGATGACATCGAGTCAGCAAAGTTGCTGAGAAAGTTGCTCTTACAGAGTAGGCTCCCTGAGCCAGATACGAACCGATTATTTTGTGGCGAGTTGGACATTGCCGTGAGCTTCATGGCAAAGTGTCGCGGCAATTTTCGCAGTAAGGAACCGGCTCGCGGTGCATAATTTTTGCAAAGAAGGGTGAAGCGTAGATAAGGCCAAAATTTTGTCGTATGTCTCTCTGTGAGGGTGAAGATAGAAGAGAAGACTCGGAGGGTCGCCACGACCATTCCTATCGGATGAAGTGCATTTTTCTCGGAAGCTCGCCACGCTTTACAAAATACGTAAAAGAGAGAGCCCCGATGGTTGCAGTGGAACTGTGGGGGCAAAGAGTTGAGTGAAACCCCTAGCGCAGTGAGTGCTTGATGAGCGGCGAAATGTCTTTAAATGACAAATTACTTGTGATCTTTAGTGTGGCTTAAATCGTATAGAGGGTATAACTGGGTATATTATTGCGTCCGCACACATCATGCATTTGTGCAATTGTACATAATATATTGTTGTGTAATTGCATTACTCTCTTTGCGATTGTAAATACCTCAGATTTACCAGCGTTTTTGGTATATAATGATGACGATGGGGCTTTTTCAAAAAAGTGACCCGCGCAACGCTTGTGCTGTTCATGTAGTACAGGTAGTTGGTATGAACAAGTGAAAATATGTACATTAAGTATTGGATCAAATAAACCGAATTATATACATATAAGTAAGAGCACGAAGTCTCATTCCCGCTCTGGGTGCTTTGCACTGCTGGCACAAATTCTTCGGGGCAAAGCTTCCTCTGCGCAAGGTACATGACACCCCGTGGTACCGAGGATAAATTCTAGTTGGATCTACCAATTGAATCCACTTTCCGAAGGAGAAAGAGTATCTTTGTGCCGGAGCTTCTGATTCTTGGGCACAGACGTCGGTCCACTTACTGGCGGATTTCTGTGAAGGGAACCGCTGACAGTCGTCCTGAATTCTTAGTCTTAGCCTGGCTGCAGTGTTGATCTTAGTCCAGATCGTATAAGCCGAGGTTGCGACGCGCATTCCTCGGTAGGCTGTAGCTCATACGATGGTAGTCTGATATGCATACACAAATTCCAGTTGCTTAATGTACTCCAATCGTCAAGTCAACTGAAAGTAAAGTTCATTTGAGATATCACCCCTTGTTGTGGAGGAAGCGAGGCTAGAAAGGACGCCCATGTTAAGGGGGAAGTGATGTATGGTAGGTATACCGCGCCATATGTCACAGCCGTTCTGCTCTATTCTTTTGGTGCAACTGCTCGCGATACAATGAGGTTTTCTTTTCTCACAGACAGTAATTAGTCGATGTTTCGCTAATTTGTGATGACAGTAATTCGAACGCGAAGTCCAGATGAAAATTTCGTTTTCCAGCTTTTACTCTGAGTGGGGCTTTTCCATAAACTTTTTGATACTGCGAGTTGCCCCGAGTTGGATGCTATGCCGATGAAAATGATTCTTTTTCGTGGTCAAGAGGAATTAAGGAAGTAAGATGTGAGGTCATTATTGGTGATCACATGGATCTCGGCTCAGGACACAAATAACTGGTTTACAGCCGTGTGATTATATATTCGTGCATTTTTGCGAAGGTGCTTTACACATAAGTACGAATTCTTCCATCGCCGTCGGTATATAATAGCATTGAGCCCATTTGTGACCAATCAACGTATTTGACAGTTGTTGATACCGGTAACAATATCAGTTTCAGCTAAATCGGGTGGTTGCTAGCTGCATCAACACCGAGTAGCTCCAAAGTAAGGTTAGTCTGGATTTTGGAAACCACCTGACGGTATGTTGCATGGCCTTTTGCCACCATGACTCAATCCTACGGATCCTGATTCTCGATGCCTATCACACTGGACGCTAACACTTTCGTCCCAAGCGACGCGTTGCTTCTGCTCCGTAGCTTCCGTGAACGTGTCATTTATATGAGCAACCGTCGCTTGCAAAAAGCGATCGGCGTCCCGCGTGTATCGAGGATCGGATCGGGTACCAGCAAAAGGTTTTATCACTAGCCATTTGCTGTTGCCTGATCCGTAGGTATATGTATGGATGTTTGCTTGCCACGTCTGTCCGAAGCTACTTGGGCAAGAAAAGGAAGTATTGACAGCTTCCAATCGGACCCAATGCTGGATCAAGACATTCATCTTTTTCTTTTGCCTAGTGGCTAAAAGACTGACGTGGTAAGGTATTTGTGATCTTAAAGGTCTAACGCCATTTTTCAAATGATAGAAAATGCAGATTTTCGTCAAGACCCTTACAGGCAAGACCATCACGCTGGACGTGGAGCCGTCGGACAGCATTGACAATGTCAAGCAGAAAATTCAGGACAAGGAAGGTATTCCACCTGACCAGCAGCGTCTGATTTTTGCTGGCAAGCAGCTCGAAGATGGACGTACTCTTGCGGACTATAACATTCAGAAAGAGTCGACGCTTCATCTTGTATTGCGTCTGCGTGGTGGTGGCAAGAAGCGTAAAAAAAAACAATACACGAAACCCAAGAAGATTAAACACAAGCACCGTAAAGTGAAACTTGCTGTGCTTAAATGTTACAAGGTGGACGACAATGGCAAGATACAACGCTTGAAGAAAGAATGCCCTGCACCTCAGTGTGGTGCTGGTGTCTTTATGGCCACTCACTTTGACCGTCACTACTGTGGCAAATGCCACGTGACATACCAGTTCCAGGGCGAGGACAGCGCTTAAGAAAAAGCAATTATTGATCTCATGAACATCTTTGAACTTGGGAAAGTTAAATTGTGAATGTAATGCACTGGTTTCCATTCATTCCTCCTTTTATGTATCTGAATATCATTAAGAACTCCGATAGTTGTAGATACTTCATTCATTTTAGTTTTCTAGTATGCCATAGCTGCCTTGATAAACATCAAACTCTTCTTCTCCACCTATGTAAAGATCATCTTCAATCACATCGTTTCCATCTAGTGGTGGTAAAGCATAAGGATCCGAACAAAGTGTTAATTCGGGAGTTTTCGTCTTGATATCGACTTTGTTTAGACCCATCAATGCCTTCACCCGGTCGTCATAAGCAAGTGGTGAAGCAGTTGTGTGACTAAAGAGAATTGGGCCACACATTCGGCACACCCGAACTGCATCATAACATAAAGGAGGTCGATATCGAGCTGCAACTTCTCGCTCACGAGATTGATAGCCCCAACATGCATGTAAATCCATGATGCACTTAAATGATACGATGTACGGCAGATTCACAGGTAGAAATAAAAATGAGCACAAAGCACAGTCTAGTCGATGAACCGAACCATACTGTGCACGAGCGACTTCATTTGTGTAAGAATCATGTCGTAAAAGTGCAGCTTGTTGCGTCTCAATATCGCGACGAATCAATTCACACTTACGTTGTTCATTACGAAGGTGACGAAGGTCTCGCGCTACGATTCTTCCACAAGATACATCGCGTTTCATCCGCTCATTAAATGTCATAGTCATGAAAGTACTAGTTGGTAAGCTATTAGCTTGTACCTTACACTTGCTGTCATGATCACAGGTATGCGATTTCTTGTGTTGATGCTTTCTTCGATGCGTAAGGTGTTGTTTAATTTCAATGACCCCAGAAATTGTAGCAATATTACCTTCATTGGACTCAGGAATGGAGATACCTTTGATCTCAGAGTCTAGTGACTTTGGTTCAAAACGACGTCGAAATCCTTGAGATGTACGTGGTAAAATTTCATGTTTGTGTCGTTGACTTGGTCGAACTACTGGCGAAAGCATTTGATTATAAGCACGATTTAATGAAAGAGAAGTTTGTTGAAAGTTTGATTTGCTAGTGGGATGCGAAGCGAGAGAGAGCGTGACCGAAGGTTTCGACTCCGTTGTTCTTACATTTGTCGAGCCACAAAAGGCAATTAGTTTCTCTAATGTACTTGATCCTCGTTTTGTCAATGCTCCACGACAACTATTGCACATATCCTCCCATAGCTGGTCGTCAGAGATTGTAATTCCTTTTCGATCAAGTTCAGCTTGTAGTGCTGCCAAAGTTTCCACAAATTTGTGTTGAGCTAAAAACTCTTGCATCAGTTGTAACACAAAAGTCTTGACTTTATCAACCAAAGTTTCTCCGGTTACGAACGGAATCTTCTTTCCATGTTCAATAGCACGCTGATCGTTTTCTAAACCCGTCACCATTACGCAGTCCTAAACTTAGCTATAACAAGTGATTATTCGGGCAAAGGAAGACACAAATTGATAAATAGATTACGAGAAATGAAGCATAGGAGTTGATTATGGTATCAATTAAGTAAGCTGAACAAGCACTTGAACTCATTAGTCTTAGTGCTTTAATTAGCTTTGGCCTTAAGTTGAGAGAAGGCTGATATCGGATTGTCACCTTTTGGGTCCTGAACTTTCGCGCTTTGACCCTTCGAACCTTTTATCTTTAACCAGATCTCAGTAGCGCGCTTGCGGTCAGTCACAAGACCCAATGTAGCAAGCAAGTCGATAGTGAGCTTTGTTGGATTAAATTGCGATGTGACACCAAACTCACTCGTTGCGTAGTCGTACGGAAACTTGTGGTGCCAATTGTGCCAGCCCTCGCCCATGGCCCAGAGTGATACAAACCAATTTTCACGTGGTGGAATGTTATCGTAAATTTGGTAGCCATAGAAATGAGCGGCGCTATTCACGAGCCATGTCGCATGTAATACAGTCACATAGCGTAGAAATCCGAGGATAAATAATGCGTTTTTCCAGTCTTCACCAACGAGTTGGACACCGACTATCGTAGGGAAAACAAAACACATGAACAATTGACCCCATGGATTGAGTTTCTCTTGCATCACGACAGTCCAATCAGCCCACAGATCGTCATAATTGAGTTTAGTACCAGCTTCGAGAACTTGTGGGTCTTTCTTGACCAACAACCAACCCATATGGGAAAAAAAGAATCCTCGACCCGAATCATGCGGGTCAGCTCTTGTGTCCGAGTATTTGTGGTGTACACGATGGTCTCGACACCAATGAAAGATCGTACCTTGATTTGCCAGACAATTGCAGAGCATGAGAAAGAAACGCAAGAGACCATGCGCTTTGTAACTGCGGTGTGCCCACAAACGGTGGGCGCCCATCGTAATGCCAAGTCCCGTAAAGTAATAAATGATGACAAAAAGTGGGTACGTTTCCCATTTACACATGAAGAGACGACGAAGGCCTTCGAAAGCACCAATATGTACGACCGACAGATAGTAAAGCATGAACCAATTCGCTTCCTTTTTGAATTGCGTGAGCGACATCATGATTGACGATGAAAAGTAATGCCGCTATTTGGCGGAGAGTGAATGTGCCAAGGTGAGTAAAAGTTGTAGAATGGCGAATAGATGCGTAGCAAAGAAGCCGAAAGCCGGGATGACATGCATTGGTGAGCATTTTTTATGCGCAATGACTGACGTACTTTGGCAAAGTCCTGTTGATGTCATCGACTTCGCCGAGATTTTGACTTAAAAATTGTATGGCAATAGTTTTAATTTGTAATACGTGACGTTTCGAAACAAAAGTCGATGATGTCAGGAGAATAAATTGGAGCTATGACTCGAATTGAAGTAGACAGGCGACGATAACGGAAGAAGGATACATCTACTGGCCACTGATAGAGAAAGATGCGGTCTGCTCGGTGATATAGCGCTATGATTTAAGATAAGTACGCGCCCATCATGAGCTGGTTGGTCGTTATTTTGTGTCTCTTTAATCTTATATTATTGTACGTTATCTGATTGGATATTAGCAAGTTCGATTTTCTGATTGCGCGGTATTTTGTATGACTGGCGTATCACAAATTTTGATTGCGCGGTATTTTGTATGACTGGCGTATCACAAATTTTGTGATACGCCAGTCATACAAAATACCGCGCAATCAGAAAATCGAACTTGCTAATATCCAATCAGATAACGTACACATTTAATGTGTGGAGGATGGAAGGTTTGGACGCCGAAACATCGTCAAAATCACGAAACTCATATTGAGTAATAGAGAAAGTGTGAAGGAGAGAGTGAGCGCTTAGATAATATCACGGGGATCAAATTTATATGACGGATACCAAATTTTTGCTCGTTTTAATGGCTTTAAAAATTCATGCTTTCGATTTAAGAATCAATAAAGATGAAACTTAAAGTCATTATACAGCAAGACCTGGCTTAGATTTTAGGTTGTGTCATCCATACGTGAGTTTGTGCATATTGGAAGCTGTCCAGGACTTATTCAGCCGTAGAGAAGTCTAAATTGACTCAGCGTTACCTTTCATTATGTGAGTAGAGACATTATTTTTCTATTGTAGTATATTACTTTTTTTTAGTAGGTATCAGGTATTTACAGAGCTGCTAAACTCGTGATTCATATTCTGTGAGAACGAGAACACCTTACAAAACTTCGATACTTGATATTATTTCTAAAGCCCTTACAGTATCGATATTAAGTGGGCAAACCTTGCAGTGTGGTGGAGAAAGCAACAGGAAGACCCTCAATCAGCACACCGGAAAGAGCTCATATCAAGAGCATTATCTTTTTGCAGTCCAAACTGCCTCAAAACATGGCAGGAATCTGCGACCAAGTCCAACGAAGCCATCCACTTAATAGCGGTATGTCTCCGACTTGAAAGGACCGGTGGGTTTGACACCAATGTATTCGGCCTGCTCGTCCGACAAAACCGTCAATTGAGCGCCCAAGTTGTCCAAATGCAAGCGAGCAACCTTCTCGTCCAGCTCTTTGGGCAAAACGTATACTTTACCTGTTTTATACTTGCCTGTATCACGCTCCTTCCACAATTCAATCTGAGCCAATGTCTGGTTCGTGAACGAGTTCGACATGACGAAGGATGGATGGCCTGTAGCACAGCCAAGGTTGAGCAGACGGCCCTCAGCCAAGATAATGACAGCGTGGCCGTCTTCAAAGACGAAGCGGTCCACCTGAGGTTTGATATTCTGGCGCTTAGCAATTTTTATCACTCCTGCCATGTCAATTTCGTTGTCAAAGTGGCCTATGTTGCCCACAATGGCGTTGTTTTTCATTTTTTGCATGTCTTTCGCCATGATAATATCCTTGTTGCCGGTCGTGGTGATAAAAATATCAGCCTGAGCAACGACAGTCTCAAGACGCACCACCTGGAATCCTTCCATGCAAGCTTGCAATGCACAAATTGGATCCACTTCAGTCACGTACACAACAGAGCCGGCCGCCTTCATAGCCTGCGCAGAACCTTTGCCAACGTCACCAAAGCCGCAGATCACCACACGTTTTCCAGCTAACATGACGTCCGTGGCACGCATTATACCATCTGGTAGCGAGTGGCGGCATCCATATAGGTTGTCGAATTTCGATTTGGTTACCGAATCATTGACATTAATAGCAGGGAATAAAAGCGTGTCATTTTTTTCCATCTGATACAAACGGTGAACACCTGTCGTCGTCTCTTCTGAAACACCCTTACAACGCTGGGCTATTTGCGTCCATTTCTTCGGGTTGGTCTTTAATGTACGTGCAATAATCGACAGGACGCACTTCATTTCAGCATTGTCCGTAGAGTCCGGATTCGGAACGGTGCCGTTTTCAGCGAAAGCTTTCTCTGCCTTGAACCCCTCGTGGATCAACAACGTCATGTCACCACCATCGTCCACAATGAGATCGGGACCGTCGCCTTTTCCGTCATCCGAAGGCCAAGTGATGGCATTAAGTGTGCACTCCCAGTATTCCTCAAGAGTCTCACCCTTCCACGCAAATACTGCAGCAGAGCCATCACGTGCGATGGCAGCAGCAGCGTGATCTTGCGTGGAAAAAATGTTGCATGAGCACCACCGAATGTCGCCGCCCAAAGCTTTAAGTGTTTCAATCAACACGGCTGTCTGGATTGTCATATGTAGCGATCCAGCAACACGAGCATTTTTCAAAGGCTGCATCGGACCGAACTCGGAGCGGCTTTGCATGAGACCAGGCATCTCAATCTCTGCGATCTCAATCTCCTTGCGACCAAAGTCCGCAAGCGAAATGTCTGCAACACGGTAATCACCAAGCGATGCCATTGTAAATACGTAAAAACAGAGAGTGAATGCTTGGGGTCTCGAGCGCGGATTCTAAAGTGAGCTAGACCACCCGTTAAATTACTATGACTTCAATCTTTAAGATTTATAAAATGGTTCTATAATTTAATATGAGGTTACATTATTGATAGTAGGTTTTGTAACTCTACAGGTTGTGTGAATATTTGACATCTTCATGCAGCGTGGGAAGGTCAGCGGCTCCACCGCTGGACGTAAACGTAGCAGCAAGAGTCTCAACGAGTTAAAAGAAGATGGCAAAAAGCCAAAAATTTCTACTATATCGTCATGGCTTTCACCTGTTACTCGTAGCAAAGTCGCCAGGTCCACAATTACACCCGAGTCAAAAGCTGTATCTAGTGTGAAAAAGCAAACTTCTCCGAGCATAAATCACTCTTTAACGCAATCATACATCGATGTGGGACAACGCGACTTTGGCAAACATGTCAATTGTAAAAAGTGCGGGCTGCTATACACTGCTGGAGAAGAGGAAGATGAGAGGGAACATGAAAAGTTTTGTAAACGTATGACTCGAGGCATCGCATTTTTCAAGTGGAAAACAGAAAGAGTTCTAAAAACATTTCCTGGCACTTTAGGACGAATTCTTGAAATCAGAAATGACGACCCGATGTCTCACGTACGAAAACTACTAGAGATCAAAAAGGTGCTTGACGATGCGTTGGGTTTTGTTGAAGAAAAGACGTTCTTACAGCGCAAGCACTTCGTATATGTTCAGGACCATCAAGTCGTTGGATGTATCAATGTGTCGCGCATCACGAAAGCCTATCTGCTGGAAAAAAGCGCTTCAAAACCGGATATATCGAAAGAAAAAGCGATTGCTTTGGCAGATGATAGCGCATTGACTGCGTCAACTATATTAAAGCCAGCAGTTGTAGGCGTTTGTCAGCTTTGGGTGCATCCTTTGTTCCGCAGACAAAGCATTGCAAGTCGAATGGTCGACGTTGCTCGCGAAAAGTCAGTCTATGGCATGCATGTTTCTAAGAATTTAGTTGCTTTTGCACAGCCGACACGAAACGGGCTGCAGTTTGCACAAAAGTACATGGAGTCGTGTGACGTGCTTGTATACTAAGAGGGTAACCGTGGCTGTACGTAACATAACCCGATACCAAAAATTAGGTTTAAACAGCTTCTAAATATACGATACAAATTCACTCTTAATATTTTAGAAGAAAGTTTTCGTCATGTCGATTACCCACGGTAAGCCTGCGGAGGGGTTGGAGTGCATGGCGACGATGGATGATATTACTGAGATCGGTGATAATTACTGTGAATACCAGACGTCACCTAGTGGTTTGTGGCATTCAGCGCTGTTTTGTGCGGACGTTGTGGAGCAGCTGCTGACCACGCAGTTTCACACGTACATGAAGAAAGTTCAGGAAGCAGACTGTAAAGCAGAGCTACGTCGCCTAGTAGCTAAAGGACCCCCTATTTGGCTTGAAGACAAGCACGCGATGCCCTTGCCTGAGGGGGACACACACATTATTCAAGTGTGGTTTGCAAGAGACAACGTGGAACGCAGTGCTAAGCTCGACGGAGCTGTGGAAGACAAAGCACACGAATTATTGTGGGCGGAGTTGCGACAACTTATAGACGCAATGGAGGAAGACAAGGTGGAAGTTAGATAACGATAAGAGTCTAGTGATGAGAGAATTACTTGGATTCTTCCATACATTGTATTGTAAGAAAAAAGTACCTTTTTGTGCATATTTTGGGGTAACATACGGGTTACCCCACTGTTTTGTTGATAAAAGTAGAAATCTGCAAAGTCTCATTAATGTAGAATATGTGCTGAATATTGCTTTACAAAGAAAGAATGGAGCGCGCATTGGTTGTATTGTTTATTATGTAGGGAAACTCAAAATGCTAAAAACGTACTCAATACTGACAGTCATCAAAAACGTTTATACATCTTTTTCTAGAGGCAGAGTAGCAAAGGCAGCTGGATCTATCTAATTGTCAACTTAATCACGTTGATCCACTCGTTGTCTATTCTACTCGGAGCTATCGCTTTGACTACTAGCCGAAAAAGAATTGATCTATCTGCTTATTTGCCAATGATTAAATACCCTTCTCTTCATTATATTTGTATTTCTCGTTACTTTTTCAAATTGATACGAAAAATACATATCTTTTTTCGCTAATTTGGTATATTTCGGTATTCTAATTCGATTTATCCAAGTAGTTATGCTTCGTTAATTACTTTACTTCAACTGTTGAAGCAGGTCAAACTGCATAGCCAGCCGCATGCCTTCTAAGAAGATTTTATATCATGACTCCGATTCTCATTACTATGCCAATCAAGGCCAAGAAATTAGATTTAACGGTAGAAGTGTTTGAAACAGAGTTAAGAAAGTCCCGGCAAAGGACTGCAGTGTTGAAATACTTCCGTCAAGAGCACGAAAACCCCAATGTGTCTCGAAGAAATAATAGTCGCTTGCAGAGAAGAGACATTTCTGTAAGCCTTAAACAATTTCATTTGCACAAATGTGATTTGATGTAATACCTCGCGAGGCGATCTCATTATCTCAAAAGCAACGGGCCGAAATATCAATCACATAAGCATCTCCAATTGAGCTTTCGGCTGAATACCGCAACATGCCGCTACTGCTTACGCCATTTGCGACCCCAGCGACTAATTATCCTGCCTCTCTTTTCACCATCTACTGGCTTCTTTCACACAGAAATTCGACTATGTCATGTTTGTAACGGGTCTACACGTACCCTGGTAACTGGTGTGTGTGTCACACGAGATGGGCATGGTTTAACTGCACCCAAACAAGAAGACGGTATGTGGCTAGGTAGCCAGTAAATATGCATGTATTTAGATTTTACTATATACATTTAGAAAAATCTATACATTTAGAATTGGGCGGCTTTGCCGCAGATAAACATAAATAAAAATCAGTTTTGGATTGTAAACGGAAGATTAATTAGCCTGAGGTTGAGGCAATACTTCTCAATTTACCGGCTACGAGGTTGAGGCAATACTTCTCAATTTGCCGGCTACCCCACAACTCGCTTTCGCTTTTTCAGAAGAACGGATTTCCAAAAAGCGTTTGACCGCGTCAACTGAAAATACATGTTCCGTTTGCTCGAGCTCATGGGCTTTGGATCCGGCTTCATACGCTGGATTAAGCTATTATACACAAAGTCGCAAGCACACTTGCTGATCAACAACAACGTCCGGCCAGCGTTACACCCAACGAGAGGCGTGAAGCAAGGCGATCCGTTGTCTGCGCTTCTCTTTGTCTTGACGATCGAGCCACTCGGTAATATGCTGCGGACGCATGAGAAGTATGGTGTGTGTCTAAACGCAGACCACACGGCGACTGGGGTCTTCTTTGCAGACAACTCGACGCTCCTTGCTAGCTCAATTCCGAACTTGCAAGTGCAACTCGACGTCTTCAATGCATACTGTCTAGGTTCCGGCGCGAAGCTAAACTTGTCCAAGTCGATGCTATTGGCGCTTAATAGGAAGGTAATCTGCCCTCAGCTACCTGGCGTCCATGTGCTCGGTCGTAACGAGACTTGGGCATTCCATTCAGCCATGCTCCAGTCGGCAACACAATCGTCAAGCTCTTGGATCAACGCTTCTAATTGGCGCTCACTTGCCTGAACCTTGCGAATCTGCCTGACTAAGTACAGACTCAATACTTTTGCCACTGTGTCAGCAGTAGTGCGAATTCGAACGTTTTTTTGCTCAACAGCAAGTTTTAGCCAGAAAGTGCTTGCGAGTAGTCGATAATACATCCCTGGTTATGGATGTGCATTTGTCTTAATGCGTACTTAGCTTGCGCACTCTGATGGCATCAAGATGTGGTACCGACGTGCACGAACTCTTCGTCATCGACTTCTAGTTGCGCAAACGATGGTGCTGTCACGCTTGTGGCACAATACGCAGCACGCCGTGATCCCG